CAAAAGACAGAGCATGAGCGGGGGAGGGGCAGAGAGAGAGGGAGACACAGAATCCCAAGCAGGTTCCAGGGTCTGAGCTGTCAGCCCAGAGCCCGACGTGGGGCTCACACCCATGAACTGTGAGATCATGACCTGAGCTGAAGTTGGTCGCTTAACCAACTGAGCCACCCAGGTGTCCCTGTTTTATTAATTTTTTTAATGTCTATTTATTTTTGAGAGAGAAAGCACGCAAGCTGGGGAGGCGCAGAGAGAGAGAGAGGGAAAGAGAGGCTCAGAAGCAGGCTCGGTGCAGACGACAAAGAGACCGATGCGGGGCTCAAACTTGTCAACCATGAAATCATGACCTGAGCCCAAGTCGGATGCTCAACCAACTGAGCCACCCAGGTGTCCCTATAGTATGTTACTTTTAAAAATAAAAAAAAAATTTTAAGTAGGAAAAGACTTGAACACACACTTCACTGAAGATGATGAATCTTGGGGCGCCTGGGTGGCTCTGTTGGTTAAGCGTCTGACTTCGGCTCGGGTCATGATCTCACAGTTCATGAGTTCAAGCCCCGCATGGGGCTCTGTGCTGACAGCCCGGAGCCTGGAACCTGCTTCGGATTCTGTCTCCCTCTCTCTCTGCCCCTCCCCCACTCGCTCTCTGTCGCTCTCAAAAATAAATAAGCATTGGGGGTGGGAGGGAGGGGAAAGTGGGTGACGGGCATGGAGGAGGGCACCTGTTGGGATGAGCACTGGGTGTTGTATGGAAACCAACTTGACGATACATTTCATATTTTTTTAAAAAATTGTTTTAATTAAGAAAAAAATTTAAAAATTTTTAAAAATAAAATTCAAATAAATGAATAAACATTGAACACATTTTAAAAACATGATGAATCTTCAATGAGCACATGAAGAAATGCACTCATTTTCACATTACACGCCACGGAAAGCACAATGAAATGCCACCGTATCACCGGAATAGCTGACACCAAAGAGCGTGACAATTCCAAGCGTTAACAAAGACGCGGACATCTGCATAGGTCATACTTTGCCGGTGGGAACACAACACGGACAGCCGCTTGCGAAAACAGCTTGACAGCGTCTTAAAAAGTTGACAAACACCGTGAAACCTAGCCATCTCACTCCTGAGAAAAATGCCACAGAGAAATGCACACACATCCACATAAAGAACGTTCACGGCTATTCATAACACCTAAAACCGAAAATTACCGAAATGTCCCTAAGCTGAGAAATTGTAATATATCGGTCACACGCGTCACGCATACTGTTGTCAGCGATAAAAAGGAATACACATAATGATCGACACATCTAATGATACGGATGAATCTCAAAAGCAGTATGTTGAGTTTTGAAAGCCAGATTCAAAAGGCAATGCGCTGCATGACCCCATTTGTAGGAAACTCTAGAAAGGCAAAACTGTAGTGACAGCAGGTCCGTGACTGCTAGGGCCAGAGGTGTGGGAGGGGATTAGCACACAGGAGTGTGAGGAAACATGATTACAGTAGCGGTTTGATGACTGTATGCACTTGTCCAAACTCGTCACGCTTTACACTTAAAATCGATTAGCCTTACTATATGTTATGCCTCATAAAGCTGACCAAAAATGAATGAATGGACACATGATCGATAGATGATAGCTACATAGATAGATAGGGGCGCCTGGGTGGTTCAGTCAGTTAAGTATCCAACTTCGGCTCAGGTCATCTCATGGTTCATGAGATCAAGCCCCACATTGGGCTCTGTGCTGACAGCACAGAGCCTGCTTGGGATTCTCTCTCTGCCCCTCCCCTGCTCTCTCTCTCTCTCTCAAGATAGATGATAGATGATAGATAGATAGATAGATAGATGATAGATAGATAGATAGATGATAGATAGATGATAGATAAACGATAATAGAGTGAGCAGGATGTAGGAAAGGCATGCTGCTGTACCTTGGGCTTGCAATGGTAGAGAGACTTTACCACCCTTAGGCCAGAAGGGCCAAGGGGAAGGAGAGGGAATAATTACCCAAACTCACAGAGGGCAGCTAGATGGAGAGCACCACAGCTATCCTGCAGGTGTGGAACCAAGGAAATAAATACATTCTATTCCCTAATCTTCCACCCCATTGGCCAAATCCAAGTGGAAGCCAGAGGATAAAGGAGCCCGATGATTCCTTCTACCTGAGTCATCCTTCCAAGCACAGAACAGAATGGAGAGAAGGGTGAGGGTAGAACAGAGGGGCAAAGAGCAGACACACAGCTATTCTATCACTGTCCTTTCAGTCAAGAAGTCAACTAGGACAATGAATCCGAGTGTCTCCGAATCTTGTGGGTACCAGTAAAGTCACATGCACATGGATCTTCGAACCCCGCTAGCTCATTTTCCTTAACCACTGCTGCAGACTTCCTGTTCTCCCACCTGACACCCCTAGAGAAGACTCCCATGTACTTACAAAAAGTTGGGTCCACCAGATATGAAAGTAGCTCCCCTTTGTGAGACAAGCGTCTCCAATGCCCTGTTTACATAAAGTCAGGGTTGCATGATAAAGTAGGCAGTGTGGGTTGGGAGAATGACTTTTTCCTCCCTTGAGTAGCACTCAGAAAAAAGGATCCCCAAAATGGCTTGCACCCCAACAGACATTTTGGTTTCTCCGCCCCAAGAGTCAACTCATGTACACAGCTAAGACGGACTTCTCTTGGGCCAAGGATTCAAGTGCAAAGGATTTATTTGACAAATTATCCCAGAAACATCCAGTCGGAACATTTCAAAAAGGAACACCCCAGAGAGTCTCAGTGAGGAAGAGTTAGTTGCTGCCATGGGCAATGGGGATCAATCCCAAAGGGCATCCTCTGAGGCTGCGCAAACACACCTCTGAATTTCTCCCACAGAATAGAAAGGAGGTGAGGGTGTTTATCCATTAGCTCCCAACCACCCCTCGTTCTTGAGGGCTATTCCCGCCCCATACAAAAGAAAGCCACGGGTAGAGAGTTTTAGGGGTTCCCAGACTCTGTCAACCTCTGTCAAGATCCACAGGGACATAGTGGACACCCACTATACATCTTCTAACTAGCTCAAAATTCCAGAAGAGCAGAGAGCGGGCCATATAAGTCATCATTCTACCCCCAACAACTAGTCCAGGCTTTGGCATACAGTAAGCGCCCAGCAAGCATGCAGAGGCTAGATGAACGTGCATAAAATAAACTTGAGACAACGATGAAAGAGATCGTTCCATCTCCAAAGATTTAGCCCAAGGAAGAGAGGTGGCATGAACACTTGGTTGCTTCCACAGAATGCCTGCATCTGCAAACCTGATCGTCCCTGAACATACGCCACGTCCAGTTCCAGAGCAGAGAATGCTTTAAGGAATCCGCACATTCCATGCCCCATTGCCCTAGTGACTCGTTCATGCGGTGGTGCTCAAAGGCAATCCCCCCCACTCCCAGGGAACAACTGGCATGTCTGGAAGCATTTCCAGTTGTCACAATGGAGGAGAGGCTGCTGCTGGCATCTGGTGGGTGGAGGCCCGAGATGCTGTCAAACATTTGACAATGCCCAGGGCGGCCCCCAGAGCAAAGAACGATCGGGTCCCAGATCCCAATACTGCCGATGTTGAGAAACCCTGAGTTAGAAGATGGATGCCTGACCCGGTTGAGGTCACTACAAAATCCACCTCGAAACTAGAAGCTTCTCAATTCTCTGGAAAGTGCAATATGGTCTGTGATCTTTGCACCTACTTTGCTAACACAGAAGGAGGGCGATGCTACATAGTAAGGGTACTATGTGGAGCCCGAGGGTGAAACTGATACCCAGAGAAAAAGCTGTAGAGATAAAGAGAAACTCAGAACTTGTTCACCTACCTCATTTGAGTTGCTAGATCTGATCTTCCCGAAGCTGGTCCTTCTTAGTTATATGAGCTAATAAATTCCTTTTCTGTTTAAGCCTATTGAGTAGGTTTTTTGTGTCACTGGCAACCAAGAGCACTCCAAATTGGTAGAGTAGGCAGTTAGCTAGATATAAGCAGGGAACAGATCCTTTCTGATAAAAAGAGAGGAAATCAAATTCCAAACAGCGGAGAGAGTCAAGGGGAGGGGCTGGGGGGGGGGGCGT